AGGAATTACGAGTTAGAGGCTTTCTTTGAAGTGTATCTCTTCGATTGTCTAGTGATGACATTCAATTTCCTTTTCGATGGTGCCAGATGTTGATAATCTCCACTTATAATCTTTATTTATAAGTGTAATATTTTATCTAAATTTCTTATTTATATTTTTAGTATAAAGATTTTTAACGGAAATGAGAAAACAAAGGTTGCAGCACTAATCTCTTTTGCATTGAAACTGATAATTTGAGGATGGGTCTTTGTAAACTGGATGAAGAATGACCCGTTCTGGGAAATTTTTATATACAATTTCTGTTTAAAATATATTATAATAAATGAAAATAATGTTAAAAAAGCAGAAATTAAATTAAATATATATAAAAATTACGTATTAAGCATCGGTAATTAATCGAAGCCGAATGGATTGTCTATGGAGAAAAGGTTAAAAATTCTGTAAATAATTACTTTATACATAAATTTAAATAATGGATAACATCAATTATAAAACATACTTTAATATTTTTTGTTTATTATAAAAAAATTAAGTTTATGTCGATAATTTATAAGAGAATTGGTAAGTTTTGTAAAGAGAAATGACACTTAAATGTGAGAAAAAAACACTTTAAGAAGCTCGTAAAATCTGAAACAAGATAAGAAATATAAGAAAGAAGTATATTTGCTGTTGAAGAAAACACTTTTCTATATAAACATACGAATCAAACTATTGTGAATTGACAATAAGAGGATGTACTCCGAATATTCAAAGTAAAAAAGGGAATTGAAAGATGGAATTACAATAATCCCAAGTATAATATTGGCCCAGTACATGGAAATTTGGTATCAAAATGGTATGTTATTTTTCAAACAGAAAAGAATGTACAGTAACAGTTTCCATAACATGCACTCGTTTCTGCTTTGAAAGGATAGAATGCGAGGTAAATAGAAATCAAATTCAAAAATAAGTTTTAAAATTAAAATTATTTTAAAGAGAAATTAATAATATTAATATTCAATTTAATTTTTAAAATATAAAAATTTAATTAATAATTGATGCGATATTTCACAATTGTCTATTGAAGTTTTATAGATTTTTGTACACTTAATTAGGTTTTATGAATTTAAACAGTAGAACCTTTGAGAAATTCAATGAATAAATGCATTAGAATTGTAAAAGAGTTATTATAAATATATATACAAGGTGTTCTGTAAGTCTGGAACTGTAGTTTTCTTCCATAACTCGCTGTCTACAAGTCTTCACAACCAAAATATTTAGTACATTCAATTCAAACATAGACTGTAGTGGTAACACTGACGATATTGAGAGAAAATAGGGCATCATTGCACTGGTGAAAGCAGGAGAGTTGCTCAGTGTCGAGTATACTGTGTATAAATACTTACATTTACATATACTTGCTTTGTACGTCTGAGTCCATGTTTCATTTGAAAGAACCAAATAACTTGAATTCGTTCCTCCATATTCAGCTCAGAATAAACAAACACATTGTTCCAAGTTTGGTTTTATTAGTGTAAGGCAACGCAACACATGAGCGATCTGCTAAATGGGAAACTGGCCTCTATTTATGTGTTATTAACGCGAAGAAAATCCGAAAAACTTCATAACCAACCTCTACTGTTCAGTAGTTTTTATCCACTCGGCTGGTGGTGATCCTTATGGTTCCAGATTGATATACGACTTATTGCTATACTATCCAAGAATTTATTAATTTAAACTATAAAGCGATTAATGAAAAAAAAAATAAAATTAATTAAAACAAATTATGTATTTAAAAAAGCAATACATTTTAATTCGTTTAAATGAAAAATGGAAGCGATTAAACAACGAAACAAAGAGCAGTTGACAAATTCCTCCACGTCTCATTAAATATGATTACGGTTTCGTTTTTCAACAAAGAAATAAAAAAACCAAGAAAAAGTATTTTAAATTGTTTTCTTTTTAAGAAACAAAACTCTGAAAACAGTATTAATATGTCTTTGGTATACATTATCCAACTAATGGAAGATATTTATCATCAAAATTAAAATGTTTAAAATTTCCTCTTTCAAATTGTTTCCTTCGCTAATATTATGATTATACAAAATGTTAGAAAATTCTAATTTGTCTTTTTTCCAAGTAATTAGAAAAGACGTTTCTCTTTCTACCATCAAGAAACTATTAAACACTAAATTGAAACCATCCTTTCCAATTATCTCTTCTTCACCTATTCACTTGACAGTTCAATTGTAATTTGAAGTTACAGATAGAAAAGTACGTTTCTTCAAAGTGAAACTCTTATTATGTCCCTCATCACTCGTACTCATCCATTGTATGCTTGACCTAAAGATATGATGGATACGAGAGAAGGTCCTCTTAGTTTACACAGGACAAGAGCATAAACAGACTTCTTATTACTATCAGATTTCATATAACATTATATAAAAAATCACTAAAATTACTTAAAATATTTATTAATCTGCACTATTTTATATGTAGTTAATATACAGAATAGTCTAAAAGTCGGTTAACCATTCTAGAGACTAATTTGCCGTAGTATGTAATTTCAGACCACAATTACACGCTAGATGTTGGGGCCTTACACTACACGTCTTATTTATTGTTATTTAATGAAAAAGGGCCTCTTACATATTTATTTTTATTGCTTATAAAGCGTATTCATGAATAAATAAATTATAGAGGCACTCCTTGATCTATTAATTTCATATAATCAGTATTGCTTTATAACACAAAATTATAGAAAAAATTTAAAGTGTTATATTTAATTTTTCTTGTTTTTAATTATATTTCAATGCAAAATTTATATAAAAACTGAACGCTATAATTTTTGATCAAATTAAAACATAGGCGGTTCTTAGCTACATAACGTAGTTTTAAATCGACATTATTTTGAAATATATTTTAAACGCTAATTGGTCGAAAGAATGACCTTGAAAATGTTTTTGTCTATCTTCTTACATAAATTGAAGGGGACTGCCTATATTTATTTTTTGACCTTGCCTTTATTTTTAAATGTATTTATGCTGTGTTTAGTTGTAGAAAGAGTTATTAATGTCGATTATTTTCTAGAATATATTTTATGTATAAAAAAGGATTAGAAATTTTATATATAAATTATTTCTGAAGTATTATTAAAGATAAAATGACTATTTTAAACAAAATATTTCACGAAGAAGATAAACAGACATTAAGAAATATATCCTTGAAATAGTTCTTTTACTGTTATATCCAGTCTTTTTTTTTATAACTCTCCATCATAAAACAGAAATGTTCCAGTATCGAAGATGAAAGTTGTTATAATTCATGGCATGTTATAAAATTTTTCACTGTCCGTTTTATAAAGATTGTCTATAAAAAATATGTCCTTGATAACTGAGAATGTAAAATATATCATCACCTTCCTTGACGTCTACTTAATTTTCTTGTAAAAATACCAGTAAATATAACTTAATACATTAATTTAAACATGATTTTTTGAATGATTTTTAATCTTTTTATAGGCGAAAATTAATTTTTATACATTTTTACATTATAACATTTATCAATTTTCTTGTAATTGCACCGACGTGCATCACGTTTAGAGCTGGAGATTTTTTCCCTCTCCTGTTATTTATTTCGTAGAGAATGAAAAATGATAAGAATGTGAAGTGACAGGAACAAAAAACGATGTTTTTTTTTATAATAAAATAAAGTATCATTTATAGCATCCTTCACTTTAACAAAATAATCATTTGTTACACGAGATGTGAGAAACTTCTCAATTACTATCAAGTAACCATCGATCAAACTGTTATCAAACTATATAAATGCCCGAAGGATGGATGGAACTTCTTGTTTAATTTTAAAATATATTTGGTTTTTGTATATTTAAATTTTTTGTTTTGTAATATTATACTTTTAAATGTTGTTATTAACTCTTTACTATTTAAATAATAAGTTTTATTGTACATTCTTTTCCTCAAAACTGTTAGAAATTCTGAAAAGCAGGATGATGGATCCGCATCTTTCCAGAATAATGCAAGAAGCAAATGTGAGAGAATGAAGTGAATATACAAGATGCGTGTGTGGAAGAATGAAGATGATAAGCAAGATGCAAATGTAAAAGAACGGAGATGTTATACAAGATGCGTGGTGGAAGAAGGAAGATGATAAGCAAGATGCAAAGTGGGAGAATGGAGATGTTATACAAGATGCGTGGAGGAAGAAGGAAGATGATAAGCAAGATGGAAATGTGGGAGAACGGAGATGATATACAAGATGCAAATGTGAGAGAATGAAGTGAATATACAAGATGCGTGTGTGGAAGAATGAAGATGATAAGCAAGATGCAAAGTAGAAGAATGGAGATGTTATACAAGATGCGTGGTGGAAGAAGGAAGATGATAAGCAAGATGCAAATGTGGGAGAACGGAGATGATACACGAGATGCAAATGTTGGAGAATGAAGATGATATATTACTTAAAAGCAGGATAAAGTAAAAATACACCGTGAAAAGGAGTAGTCTGATAACATCCATTGTTTAAAATGAAGAGGATGTCACTCATGCGGGGTTATAAATGATGATGAAAGTGAGAAAATATAAAAATTTCTTTAAATTTTATTTTGTTTTAAAGCTTAAAAAATTAATTGTATCATTGAAACGAACATATTTTATTTCTAAAAATTACATTTATTGTTCTACTTTAAGGCACTTAATCTTTACAATTTACATACAAAATATATACGTGTAAACACATAGTATACGTAGAACATAAACGGATAGTGTTATAATTACGCCTATAACATTATAATTAAATTGATTTATAATAGAATTACAGAAAATGTAATTTTATTTCTCAGATATATTCATAAATATGTACATTAAATTGTACTAATTATTATGTTAACACACCCATAAAAAATTAACAAAAAAAATCTTATTTTATTACTGGATATGTTTGTATAATATCAACGCACAGTTTTCATATTAGAAAGAAAAATTAATAAATTTCTAAGCAGATATATAACAGAATTTTTAGATAAAACTCTAAGAATTTGAAATTTGAAACGTCTCAAGCAGTGGGTATGAGCATTTACCATTATTTTGATCGCGATAATTGTTATCATTAGTGAATCTTATATTGTTTGATCCTGGTTGTCTGTATGGAGATTGTTTAGTGACTTTTGTGCTGCTGATGGCATAAGAATCCATAACGTGTGAAACGTGAGTTGTAGATCCCTGTGGCACCACTTGGCAACGAACATTGGGATGACGTCTCAGAAGAGCTTTAATATATGTTTGTTTTAACGCTGTTTGCACCTAAATATATTATTTAAAATTAATACATTAACAATTTAATATTATTAATATAGGATGTATCAAGAGGGAAAGTAAATACTTTGAAAGATAATCCATACAAGAAGAAAGAAATCCGTCTATGAGGGCTTGAAAATGAGCTGATTTTTTTAAAAAAGTGGATAGACGTAGTGATATTCTTTGCAAAGTGTTGAGTGTGACTTACTACACTCAAAAACTTAGACAATCTCTGATGCCATCACTCCATCCTGTCATGGATCATTATCAGATGCAATCGACTGCTAGTTCAACTATAGCAGCAACATTAACACTGTAGCAGCTGTAGTTGCACTTTCAGTACACTGCATGTGATATCTTAACACTTGATACATTAAATTCTGATATAAACATACCTCTGTATTAATAAATCGCCATATCTTCATGTTACGTACATTTACTTCATAAAGTATTTACCTTTCTTCCTGAAAAACCCAGTGTTTGAGAACATGTAATATGAATAAAATTTACCTCAGAATTGAGAAAACAATAGAGCACCGCAACGAATATCCCCTAAATTGTATACGTAATAAATCATTAAAAACCATAGAAAATTCAAAATAATTTTTAAATATTACGACAATTTTTTGTACCTGACAAGACTGTAAAAGAGCATTTGTAATCATGTAAGCTTGTTCTAAATAGCCATCGTCTTGTGGATTTATACAGAAGAGCAAGTGGGTTATCCCCAGCAAAGGGAACAACAAAACTGTAGCTTTGACTGCTTTCCTAGACAAATAAAAAACGTTTTTATTAGTTTAATTTTCGATTTTTAATATGTTAAAGCAAATAGAATCAGTTATTATATTCCAAAACATTTTATGACTTTCATAATAAAGATGCATCTCTGCAACGGACTTTTTAACACGTAAATAGGGGCCTTAGAAAGTCCTCCCGAGAGACATTCCGAGTAGAGCGAGTGGACAGTTCTTCCATTGTTTCAACTCGTGTTTCATACACCAAAGGAAAAAGTCAGGAAGTAGCGTAAGCTATAGCTCATTTAATTTGTTATCTTCAACTCTAGGTTGCTTCATAAATAATTTTTAAGGTAGAGATGAGTTTTATAAGAAAAATAAAAGTGTAAATGATAATAACGAGTTAAATTTTCGTTAAACCCGATCCCACTCGAAATTGTTAGGGATCGGTTTATTTAGTTACGGTTGTGGGCAAGCTCACGGAACGACTTTTATGGAAAATTGGCCCTATTTAGGTGATACAAACGTGAAAACCTTACGGGGTCAGCCGTTGGAGAGAAGCGAACCCACGACCAACTTTTTATCCACTCGGCCTCTTGTGGGGGTTTCCACTCAAAATATGACTATATCCCCATACCCTCGACCTTTACCACCAAAATTTAATAGCATCTATGCCTCTAATACCCAAATCTTCCTGCAGAATTTAGAAATTTTCGACAAAAGGCATCATACATATGCAACACACAGGAACATACAGAAAAATCCCCAAATGTTTTTTTGCACTTTCAAGATCTCAAGTCTATAAATTTAAAAATATTGAAAGGTGGTCATTTATTTTACCAATTGCCATACTTCCCCTCTGTTATATATAGCAGAGAAACCATAAAAATACATATCTCATCGACCTGTACCAATTCCTAGATTTATTAAACATTGAGCATTGACATACTCTACGTTTTAACTACGATTAACTCAATTTTTTTTTTTAGTTTTTAAGAGAAAAATAAATGACTTTAACTAAATAAAAATCGTTTTACATTTATATTGTTAGAAAATTGATTGAATCCAGCTATCAATGAAACAATTTTACACTTTCTATTTTTATTCAGCTTTATTGAATTATCTGTTACTTTATCGTTACTATTTTTATCCAAAAAATCGGATTCTATTGAAAAACTATTTTTTACAATTCAGGGGGATTTCTTCTTTCTATTTTTACAAAAATAGCATTTTTTTTCTTTTAAACCACTTTACAGTAACGTTATTTCTTGTATTGCCCTTAAACACTGTTATTTCTTCGTACTATGGACGAAGTAATTTTCACTAAAAATTTACCAATAAATATCGAACAAATAACAGAATTTTATCGTATTTACATTTATCCAAATCTCTTCAAAAATTTTATTATTTGCGACTTTATTTAATTTGTGAAGCTGGATTTCGACTTGCCAGCCTTACGTCGCTAAACATTCGAGAGGCCCTTCCTCCAAATATAATGGGTAAATAGTAGAATTGTTTTTTGTGAATAGAACGAGGCCTCTTATAACTTGGGGCCCCGTAGTTTAATTAACGTATAGGTTAATCCCATTCTGAATGAGTAGCTTGTATAGGAAACGAACCCGATTCACCTCCTTGACGGTAAATATTCGTATTAATAGCCCATTAATCATTAAATTTATAAATATTTTTAATTGTTGAACATAATTTATAAAGATTTACTAAATTACTCACCTGACTTGTTTAGTTTCTATCGAAACAGTAGCGCGAATTTTAGTGATTAAGATGCGAACTATTGTGAACAGGAAAATTGTATTCACCTAATTAAATATAATTAAAATATTAATTAAAATTAAACTATACTATTATGTAATTAAATGCGAAAATCTTACCACTAAAGCAGTTATCATTGGTCCAGTAACAATCCATATATAAGGCAATCTACCGTATCCTCTCCAGCATGGTGTTTCTAGATGAAATACCATAAATATTGCCCACGATACAACGAATATCCCTGGAGTAACTAAATTATGTAGTTTATGGTAAGTGAAAAAATCTTATAACAAAGAAAATACCCTTGTAAATATATTCGAAAAGTAATGCTTACTCCATCCTATAAAATAATATAATTTAAATGGTGGATCTTGTTGAAAAACGAAGACAGAAATGCTGCTGTAAAGTAACAATCCTTCAACAAACATCCAGTTAACGNTCGTATTTCAGGATGAAAGTAAATATTTTCTAAAAAATTTTTAAATTATCGTTTTTCCCCTCTTTTTTTTTTACTTTTCGGGTATCAAATTAATAAAAGTTATAATTTTTGATTGGAAAAAAGACAAATTTTTACTCATAATTCCCATTGCTTTGTTTGTAAATTTAGCAAATTCTCTTACTATCAGCATCAGCATCATTATCATCAGTTTCATCTTCAGCATCTTAATCAGCATCATATTTAAAATTCTTATTATCTTGCTTACGACTTTAACTTTTAACCTATAATTAATCTTTCAACTTATTCCCTTGTGTCTTTTAAGTGTATGAAAAGTACTGTTTAGAAAAGCTTATTTCTACGTTTTCCCATTATAAAATTTGGAGAGTGGGTACTTTTCCAAAACTTTTGTTTACTGTCTTTATGAAAGAACAGATAGATTACGACAGGACACATCTGGGTAATGTTAGTAGCAATAAAACTGCATCCTCTTTTACTTCCTTCTCAGCTTCTTGGTACAATCTTAACATGCTAATAATAATATCTTCCGTATTTAATTAATTTTGTATACTATTCATGATCACGCGGTAAATTGATTGTTTTATCTCACAATTTCCTATGTCCTATGTCGTAAATCTTATATTATCTATATTTGATTTCAGTTTTTAAAAATTGCAGACTTATAAATTCTCACTGGCATACATCATCGTGTCTTTCCTTGAGAACGGTGTTAAATAGACAAAATTCGAAACCAGATATGGAACGTCTAAGGGCAGAAGACCCCCTATATATGAACTTTCGCTTTTAAATGGAAGCCACATTGTTTCAATTTAAAAATTTTCTTTTGAATGGAGTTTGATAGATGAATTGTTAACAGGAAAAGTATGATGTACAGGGGCAAGACACTACTAAAATTGAGAGCATCATAAGCTCAATCCTGTACCTTTTGTCGAACACTTATGAAATTTTTCATGGAGGTTTGTTTGTCAGGGTGAAATGTTTCTTGAAATTTAGAGGGAAATTTGACAATTGATTCAAGAGATATGACCGTCTATATTTAATATTTCCTAAACCAATCCAAGTCTTAAAGGTAATGGTAACAATTATTGAGGATGAAAACAAATGAAGAATAATGGGAAAGCTCAGTAACAACGTTTCCAATTCCTTCCTGCAAGTGGAATTCTTCGGGATGTTATTTTTTCAATACTTTATTGCAATAATATCCTTAACTCTTGTTGATGTTGACTTCTTAAGTATATCACTCGAAATGCATGTAATTGGCCACTTGTGGACTATAGTGATATCGGTCATACAGGTAACAGCAGTGATAATAATCAAGTAAATATTGGCTAATTGTGATATTAGTCAAACGGATATTCTTCCCAATACAGGTTCTTCATAGATTGAATTCTTAAACAATCAATTATATTGTATTTGTTATTAATTTCCATGAATTTGTATAATGTCTGTGTTATTTATTAAATTTTAAAACTAAACGTGCAATTACTTATTGTGACGTCGTCAGCATTTTTAATCTTCTTTTAATTTGAATATTATTTAGGACAATTACTTAATTATTGTCATATTAAACAATGAATATTTAATGCCTCAATTGATTTTTCACTTAATAACATTACATTACTTCTATTCACTTTATTTTTCATGGATAACAATGATGACATTCAACTAAACAATCCACGACAGATGAACTGGTGATCATCCTTTTATGTAAAGTCTCGTAAGTCAACACAATTTTTAATTGTCTCTCCTGAAGAAAGTAATAACAATTAATGTAATTAATCGTGATTTTCGACTTAATAACACATTAATTGTCTTTCGGCAATAAAAATATTAATTTCTGTAAATACAGTTATGAATTTCTGATGTAACACTTGATAAAGGCAAATTTCTCACAGAAAGTCTTCATTTATGTTGCCATTTACAGCGATTCAATTACTCACACTGTAAGAACAGATCGGATAATTTATTTACATATACAATAGATATACCTTGTGTTCATAAAATAACCTACAAAACATTTTCTACAATGTAATCTCTCATAGTTATCACATTAACGATACATTTTATATTAAATATATCATTATTCCTCTGTAAAACATCGTGTTAATTGATTAAATTACCTGTTTATGATGTTGTAAAACTTAATTATTTCTGATTTGAGTAGATAATAAATTTCAATTATATTATTATTATCAACATCCCTTGTGATTCTCCTAACTGATAATGTTATTAATTAAGGGTTACATTCAAGCAGTAAAATTACACGTATTTTCGTGGAATTTCTTTGTAGTTTTAATGAAAAATTCAGTATCTTTACAATTTCATTGATTGATTCGACAGAGTATAAGAAATTTATAGCTAGGTGAAGGAATCTTGCAAAATTTCACGTACCAGCCCATTGAGGAGGTTCGAACCCACGACCAGAACTAACTGGTTTTATTCACTTGGCTCTCATGAATTCTGTATTCTCTTTCACATCAGTGTCATTCTTCATACCTCGCACGTATCCTCCTTCAAATCATCTTAAAAAATATGTTTTTAGATTATTTAATTTTAAAGTTTTCATATATATTAGATTAGCCTTGTAACGAATTAAATAATTACAGCTTCCTTTTATTCATTTACAAAGATTATGCAAAGAACCTTGCAGCATAAATCTTAAAAGATTTATATTTGCTCTTTAGTGTCACTCAGTCAACAGGAATTATGTATGATATGTAAATATTAAAGTCTATTTTCCTTATAGTCACTATTTTTCAAAAGAGTTTAGAAGTCGTTTTTGAAAAATAAAGACACACTTTGAATTTTTCAGATAAAATATATTCTTTAGAGTCATTTTTAAAGTAATATATAAAGTTTTTGAGTTGTCAAACTCTATATCATGTTACATCACAGTTCACGAAATTTATATATATATATATATATAACTTTTTATACGACTTTACATAGAAAATTCATTCTGTAGGTTGTTACTTTATGAAGTGTCAATCAATTAAAGTAATATAACAGAGCAAGAAATTTAAATTATGCAATATGTTTCATTTTCTATTGATCAGTATCCAGTTACGTTGTTATTCGCATCCTCATCCTGTATTTTTTTATGAAGCAGAGAAATGTATGATCACGAAAGATGAAGTGATAAATTCTTTTTATGAAATTGATGCTATCTGTACTCCTCTTTTTCAAGAGGGGAGATTAGGAAGAGCAGAAAGAGGAAGTGTAGCGAGCAAGGATAATAGAAAGAGAAGAGATAAGGAAGTGGAGCGAGCAAGGATAGAAAGAGAAGAAATGAGGAAGTGAGAAGAGCGAGAATGATAGAAAGAGAAAAGATGAGGAAGTGGAGCGAGCAAGGATAATAGAAAGAGAAGAAATGAGGAAATGAAAAGAGCGAGAATGATAAAAAGAGAAGAGATGAACAAGTGGAGCGAGCAAGGATGATAGAAAGAGAAGAGATGAGTATGTGGAGAGAGTAAAGATTTATTTTAATAAAAATTAACATAAATTTTTAAAAAGTTTACCAAATTAAATAGTGTTCTGAATGCAATTTAATAAATAATGTAGTGTATGATAGAAAAGAAGTTTGTAGTAACTTGAAATTAATTTCTAGTCTTCTTATAATAGAAGTAATGGATAAATATGAATTTTATTTTTCAATTTTTACTAAATTTCTTTAAAATTTACACATTCATACTGCAAATAATTGCTAAATTTTTAATTAAATTATTTGATAAATTATTATAAACAAAAGTACAATTATAGAAATCAATTTAAATATTATCTTAATTTTTTTTTATAATTTTAGGAAATTTCTTATTCATGACACATAAAAAATAAACGTAATTATAGTAGAAAGTGATGAATTTCCCAAAGGAATTACGAGTTAGAGGCTTTCTTTGAAGTGTATCTCTTCGATTGTCTAGTGATGACATTCAATTTCCTTTTCGATGGTGCCAGATGTTGATAATCTCCACTTATAATCTTTATTTATAAGTGTAATATTTTATCTAAATTTCTTATTTATATTTTTAGTATAAAGATTTTTAACGGAAATGAGAAAACAAAGGTTGCAGCACTAATCTCTTTTGCATTGAAACTGATAATTTGAGGATGGGTCTTTGTAAACTGGATGAAGAATGACCCGTTCTGGGAAATTTTTATATACAATTTCTGTTTAAAATATATTATAATAAATGAAAATAATGTTAAAAAAGCAGAAATTAAATTAAATATATATAAAAATTACGTATTAAGCATCGGTAATTAATCGAAGCCGAATGGATTGTCTATGGAGAAAAGGTTAAAAATTCTGTAAATAATTACTTTATACATAAATTTAAATAATGGATAACATCAATTATAAAACATACTTTAATATTTTTTGTTTATTATAAAAAAATTAAGTTTATGTCGATAATTTATAAGAGAATTGGTAAGTTTTGTAAAGAGAAATGACACTTAAATGTGAGAAAAAAACACTTTAAGAAGCTCGTAAAATCTGAAACAAGATAAGAAATATAAGAAAGAAGTATATTTGCTGTTGAAGAAAACACTTTTCTATATAAACATACGAATCAAACTATTGTGAATTGACAATAAGAGGATGTACTCCGAATATTCAAAGTAAAAAAGGGAATTGAAAGATGGAATTACAATAATCCCAAGTATAATATTGGCCCAGTACATGGAAATTTGGTATCAAAATGGTATGTTATTTTTCAAACAGAAAAGAATGTACAGTAACAGTTTCCATAACATGCACTCGTTTCTGCTTTGAAAGGATAGAATGCGAGGTAAATAGAAATCAAATTCAAAAATAAGTTTTAAAATTAAAATTATTTTAAAGAGAAATTAATAATATTAATATTCAATTTAATTTTTAAAATATAAAAATTTAATTAATAATTGATGCGATATTTCACAATTGTCTATTGAAGTTTTATAGATTTTTGTACACTTAATTAGGTTTTATGAATTTAAACAGTAGAACCTTTGAGAAATTCAATGAATAAATGCATTAGAATTGTAAAAGAGTTATTATAAATATATATACAAGGTGTTCTGTAAGTCTGGAACTGTAGTTTTCTTCCATAACTCGCTGTCTACAAGTCTTCACAACCAAAATATTTAGTACATTCAATTCAAACATAGACTGTAGTGGTAACACTGACGATATTGAGAGAAAATAGGGCATCATTGCACTGGTGAAAGCAGGAGAGTTGCTCAGTGTCGAGTATACTGTGTATAAATACTTACATTTACATATACTTGCTTTGTACGTCTGAGTCCATGTTTCATTTGAAAGAACCAAATAACTTGAATTCGTTCCTCCATATTCAGCTCAGAATAAACAAACACATTGTTCCAAGTTTGGTTTTATTAGTGTAAGGCAACGCAACACATGAGCGATCTGCTAAATGGGAAACTGGCCTCTATTTATGTGTTATTAACGCGAAGAAAATCCGAAAAACTTCATAACCAACCTCTACTGTTCAGTAGTTTTTATCCACTCGGCTGGTGGTGATCCTTATGGTTCCAGATTGATATACGACTTATTGCTATACTATCCAAGAATTTATTAATTTAAACTATAAAGCGATTAATGAAAAAAAAAATAAAATTAATTAAAACAAATTAGGTATTTAAAAAAGCAATACATTTTAATTCGTTTAAATGAAAAATGGAAGCGATTAAACAACGAAACAAAGAGCAGTTGACAAATTCCTCCACGTCTCATTAAATATGATTACGGTTTCGTTTTTCAACAAAGAAATAAAAAAACCAAGAAAAAGTATTTTAAATTGTTTTCTTTTTAAGAAACAAAACTCTGAAAACAGTATTAATATGTCTTTGGTATACATTATCCAACTAATGGAAGATATTTATCATCAAAATTAAAATGTTTAAAATTTCCTCTTTCAAATTGTTTCCTTCGCTAATATTATGATTATACAAAATGTTAGAAAATTCTAATTTGTCTTTTTTCCAAGTAATTAGAAAAGACGTTTCTCTTTCTACCATCAAGAAACTATTAAACACTAAATTGAAACCATCCTTTCCAATTATCTCTTCTTCACCTATTCACTTGACAGTTCAATTGTAATTTGAAGTTACAGATAGAAAAGTACGTTTCTTCAAAGTGAAACTCTTATTATGTCCCTCATCACTCGTACTCATCCATTGTATGCTTGACCTAAAGATATGATGGATACGAGAGAAGGTCCTCTTAGTTTACACAGGACAAGAGCATAAACAGACTTCTTATTACTATCAGATTTCATATAACATTATATAAAAAATCACTAAAATTACTTAAAATATTTATTAATCTGCACTATTTTATATGTAGTTAATATACAGAATAGTCTAAAAGTCGGTTAACCATTCTAGAGACTAATTTGCCGTAGTATGTAATTTCAGACCACAATTACACGCTAGATGTTGGGGCCTTACACTACACGTCTTATTTATTGTTATTTAATGAAAAAGGGCCTCTTACATATTTATTTTTATTGCTTATAAAGCGTATTCATGAATAAATAAATTATAGAGGCACTCCTTGATCTATTAATTTCATATAATCAGTATTGCTTTATAACACAAAATTATAGAAAAAATTTAAAGTGTTATATTTAATTTTTCTTGTTTTTAATTATATTTCAATGCAAAATTTATATAAAAACTGAACGCTATAATTTTTGATCAAATTAAAACATAGGCGGTTCTTAGCTACATAACGTAGTTTTAAATCGACATTATTTTGAAATATATTTTAAACGCTAATTGGTCGAAAGAATGACCTTGAAAATGTTTTTGTCTATCTTCTTACATAAATTGAAGGGGACTGCCTATATTTATTTTTTGACCTTGCCTTTATTTTTAAATGTATTTATGCTGTGTTTAGTTGTAGAAAGAGTTATTAATGTCGATTATTTTCTAGAATATATTTTATGTATAAAAAAGGATTAGAAATTTTATATATAAATTATTTCTGAAGTATTATTAAAGATAAAATGACTATTTTAAACAAAATATTTCACGAAGAAGATAAACAGACATTAAGAAATATATCCTTGAAATAGTTCTTTTACTGTTATATCCAGTCTTTTTTTTTATAACTCTCCATCATAAAACAGAAATGTTCCAGTATCGAAGATGAAAGTTGTTATAATTCATGGCATGTTATAAAATTTTTCACTGTCCGTTTTATAAAGATTGTCTATAAAAAATATGTCCTTGATAACTGAGAATGTAAAATATATCATCACCTTCCTTGACGTCTACTTAATTTTCTTGTAAAAATACCAGTAAATATAACTTAATACATTAATTTAAACATGATTTTTTGAATGATTTTTAATCTTTTTATAGGCGAAAATTAATTTTTATACATTTTTACATTATAACATTTATCAATTTTCTTGTAATTGCACCGACGTGCATCACGTTTAGAGCTGGAGATTTTTTCCCTCTCCTGTTATTTATTTCGTAGAGAATGAAAAATGATAAGAATGTGAAGTGACAGGAACAAAAAACGATGCTTTTTTTTATAATAAAATAAAGTATCATTTATAGCATCCTTCACTTTAACAAAATAATCATTTGTTACACGAGATGTGAGAAACTTCTCAATTACTATCAAGTAACCATCGATCAAACTGTTATCAAACTATATAAATGCCCGAAGGATGGATGGAACTTCTTGTTTAATTTTAAAATATATTTGGTTTTTGTATATTTAAATTTTTTGTTTTGTAATATTATACTTTTAAATGTTGTTATTAACTCTTTACTATTTAAATAATAAGTTTTATTGTACATTCTTTTCCTCAAAACTGTTAGAAATTCTGAAAAGCAGGATGATGGATCCGCATCTTTCCAGAATAATGCAAGAAGCAAATGTGAGAGAATGAAGATAATATACAAGATGCGTGTGTGGAAGAAGGAAGATGATGAGCTAGATTCAAAGTGGGAGAATGGAAATGTTATACAAGATGCGTGGTGGAAGAAGGAAGATGATAAGCAAGATGTAAATGTGGGAGAACAGGGACGATATACAAGATGCAAATGTGAGAGAATGAAGGTAATATACAAGATGCGTGTGTGGAAGAATGAAGATGATAAGCAAGATGCAAAGTAGAAGAATGGAGATGTTATACAAGATGCGTGGTGGAAGAAGGAAGATGATAAGCAAGATGCAAATGTGGGAGAACGGAGATGATACACGAGATGCAAATGTTGGAGAATGAAGATGATATATTACTTAAAAGCAGGATAAAGTAAAAATACACCGTGAAAAGGAGTAGTCTGATAACATCCATTGTTTAAAATGAAGAGGATGTCACTCATGCGGGGTTATAAATGATGATGAAAGTGAGAAAATATAAAAATTTCTTTAAATTTTATTTTGTTTTAAAGCTTAAAAAATTAATTGTATCATTGAAACGAACATATTTTATTTCTAAAAATTACATTTATTGTTCTACTTTAAGGCACTTAATCTTTACAATTTACATACAAAATATATACGTGTAAACACATAGTATACGTAGAACATAAACGGATAGTGTTATAATTACGCCTATAACATTATAATTAAATTGATTTATAATAGAATTACAGAAAATGTAATTTTATTTCTCAGATATATTCATAAATATGTACATTAAATTGTACTAATTATTATGTTAACACACCCATAAAAAATTAACAAAAAAAATCTTATTTTATTACTGGATATGTTTGTATAATATCAACGCACAGTTTTCATATTAGAAAGAAAAATTAATAAATTTCTAAGCAGATATATAACAGAATTTTTAGATAAAACTCTAAGAATTTGAAATTTGAAACGTCTCAAGCAGTGGGTATGAGCATTTACCATTATTTTGATCGCGATAATTGTTATCATTAGTGAATCTTATATTGTTTGATCCTGGTTGTCTGTATGGAGATTGTTTAGTGACTTTTGTGCTGCTGATGGCATAAGAATCCATAACGTGTGAAACGTGAGTTGTAGATCCCTGTGGCACCACTTGGCAACGAACATTGGGATGACGTCTCAGAAGAGCTTTAATATATGTTTGTTTTAACGCTGTTTGCACCTAAATATATTATTTAAAATTAATACATTAACAATTTAATATTATTAATATAGGATGTATCAAGAGGGAAAGTAAATACTTTGAAAGATAATCCATACAAGAAGAAAGAAATCCGTCTATGAGGGCTTGAAAATGAGCTGATTTTTTTAAAAAAGTGGATAGACGTAGTGATATTCTTTGCAAAGTGTTGAGTGTGACTTACTACACTCAAAAACTTAGACAATCTCTGATGCCATCACTCCATCCTGTCATGGATCATTATCAGATGCAATCGACTGCTAGTTCAACTATAGCAGCAACATTAACACTGTAGCAGCTGTAGTTGCACTTTCAGTACACTGCATGTGATATCTTAACACTTGATACATTAAATTCTGATATAAACATACCTCTGTATTAATAAATCGCCATATCTTCATGTTACGTACATTTACTTCATAAAGTATTTACCTTTCTTCCTGAAAAACCCAGTGTTTGAGAACATGTAATATGAATAAAATTTACCTCAGAATTGAGAAAACAATAGAGCACCGCAACGAATATCCCCTAAATTGTATACGTAATAAATCATTAAAAACCATAGAAAATTCAAAATAATTTTTAAATATTACGACAATTTTTTGTACCTGACAAGACTGTAAAAGAGCATTTGTAATCATGTAAGCTTGTTCTAAATAGCCATCGTCTTGTGGATTTATACAGAAGAGCAAGTGGGTTATCCCCAGCAAAGGGAACAACAAAACTGTAGCTTTGACTGCTTTCCTAGACAAATAAAAAACGTTTTTATTAGTTTAATTTTCGATTTTTAATATGTTAAAGCAAATAGAATCAGTTATTATATTCCAAAACATTTTATGACTTTCATAATAAAGATGCATCTCTGCAACGGACTTTTTAACACGTAAATAGGGGCCTTAGAAAGTCCTCCCGAGAGACATTCCGAGTAGAGCGAGTGGACAGTTCTTCCATTGTTTCAACTCGTGTTTCATACACCAAAGGAAAAAGTCAGGAAGTAGCGTAAGCTATAGCTCATTTAATTTGTTATCTTCAACTCTAGGTTGCTTCATAAATAATTTTTAAGGTAGAGATGAGTTTTATAAGAAAAATAAAAGTGTAAATGATAATAACGAGTTAAATTTTCGTTAAACCCGATCCCACTCGAAATTGTTAGGGATCGGTTTATTTAGTTACGGTTGTGGGCAAGCTCACGGAACGACTTTTATGGAAAATTGGCCCTATTTAGGTGATACAAACGTGAAAACCTTACGGGGTCAGCCGTTGGAGAGAAGCGAACCCACGACCAACTTTTTATCCACTCGGCCTCTTGTGGGGGTTTCCACTCAAAATATGACTATATCCCCATACCCTCGACCTTTACCACCAAAATTTAATAGCATCTATGCCTCTAATACCCAAATCTTCCTGCAGAATTTAGAAATTTTCGACAAAAAGCATCATACATATGCAACACACAGGAACATACAGAAAAATCCCCAAATGTTTTTTTGCACTTTCAAGATCTCAAGTCTATAAATTTAAAAATATTGAAAGGTGGTCATTTATTTTACCAATTGCCATACTTCCCCTCTGTTATATATAGCAGAGAAACCATAAAAATACATATCTCATCGACCTGTACCAATTCCTAGATTTATTAAACATTGAGCATTGACATACTCTACGTTTTAACTACGATTAACTCAATTTTTTTTTTTAGTTTTTAAGAGAAAAATAAATGACTTTAACTAAATAAAAATCGTTTTACATTTATATTGTTAGAAAATTGATTGAATCCAGCTATCAATGAAACAATTTTACACTTTCTATTTTTATTCAGCTTTATTGAATTATCTGTTACTTTATCGTTACTATTTTTATCCAAAAAATCGGATTCTATTGAAAAACTATTTTTTACAATTCAGGGGGATTTCTTCTTTCTATTTTTACAAAAATAGCATTTTTTTTCTTTTAAACCACTTTACAGTAACGTTATTTCTTGTATTGCCCTTAAACACTGTTATTTCTTCGTACTATGGACGAAGTAATTTTCACTAAAAATTTACCAATAAATATCGAACAAATAACAGAATTTTATCGTATTTACATTTATCCAAATCTCTTCAAAAATTTTATTATTTGCGACTTTATTTAATTTGTGAAGCTGGATTTCGACTTGCCAGCCTTACGTCGCTAAACATTCGAGAGGCCCTTCCTCCAAATATAATGGGTAAATAGTAGAATTGTTTTTTGTGAATAGAACGAGGCCTCTTATAACTTGGGGCCCCGTAGTTTAATTAACGTATAGGTTAATCCCATTCTGAATGAGTAGCTTGTATAGGAAACGAACCCGATTCACCTCGTTGACGGTAAATATTCGTATTAATAGCCCATTAATCATTAAATTTATAAATATTTTTAATTGTTGAACATAATTTATAAAGATTTACTAAATTACTCACCTGACTTGTTTAGTTTCTATCGAAACAGTAGCGCGAATTTTAGTGATTAAGATGCGAACTATTGTGAACAGGAAAATTGTATTCACCTAATTAAATATAATTAAAATATTAATTAAAATTAAACTATACTATTATGTAATTAAATGCGAAAATCTTACCACTAAAGCAGTTATCATTGGTCCAGTAACAATCCATATATAAGGCAATCTACCGTATCCTCTCCAGCATGGTGTTTCTAGATGAAATACCATAAATATTGCCCACGATACAACGAATATCCCTGGAGTAACTAAATTATGTAGTTTATGGTAAGTGAAAAAATCTTATAACAAAGAAAATACCCTTGTAAATATATTCGAAAAGTAATGCTTACCCCATCCTATAAAATAATATAATTTAAATGGTGGATCTTGTTGAAAAACGAAGACAGAAATGCTGCTGTAAAGTAACAATCCTTCAACAAACATCCAGTTAACGCTTGCAGTTGCAGCATACATTTTTAATGTCAGTAACGTCTTACAAAACCAATCCTATAGTAATAATTCAGTGTTTTACTGTATAAATAAATGAGTTTTTTATTACAAATATGTTAAATATTTACTTACCAAACCGTGATAAGAAGGTATAGAATTTTCAAATAAAATTGGCAAAGAGATAATCATTAATAAAAACGAATGAATTATCAGAGCAACAACTAAATTTCTGTGTACTCGAAGCCTGGAGCAATGAAGAGATCTGTTTAAAATATATATATATAAATATATAAATTTGCATATATTATTTCAATATTTGTCTGATTTAGTTTAAAAAATTTACTTACCTAAAATATGTAAAAATAAATAACGTAATTGCTAATAATATTAAAGATAAAAACGATCCAATGAACAGAATGTAACTGACTGATAATCTTCCTTTAGGTTCTTTCTGGAAAAAATTTTTTTAAATTTCTTCTTAAGCTTTTTTTCCTTTAAACAAACCCATAAATTTATTATTCTAATATTTAAGATTATAATTATTTCTTCCTGAAGAATTATTAACATACGTATAAGTTTACAAAGGCGAGAACGATTTGCAATTGTATACGTAAACATTCCCTTCATTTGTCCGTCTGGCTGCCTGGTTTTCCTTTATTAAACTGAGTTAGACAGATTAAAATTGAGACTAGATATAGAAAACTTTATGGGAACAGTCTAAGCCCTTATAATTTATCAATAAACAGTACCATATTATTAAAAATACAGGATTATCTAATGCCGGACTTCTATAAGAAGTGTTACATCAATGGCATGTGATAACCAGATCAGCCTACTGTTCTGTGGATCCGGATGAACAATTCTTCAGGAATTTTTAATGGAACATCTGTCTCTCAAAACTCGGCAATTGTAAGCCACAATAGAGACTATTGTGGGCCTTCAAACTCCGCAATGATTATAGATAAAAAGCCCTCTTACAGGAAAGATTTTAAAAGAGGAAAATTCATGAAGGTAAAGTAATTTTATTGCTGGTAATGCACGTCAGCGGCCATTCTTTTTAGGGAACGTTTCTTGTTAACCTCTAAATAACGTCAATTTTTTTTATGTTTTCTTCCGTGTCCGTCGTTTAGAGGTTCGACTGTATATGTAAAAAAAAACTACCGAAAAAAGTAAAGTTTCTTTAACAGAAAAAGAGTTAACTTTGTAAGTTAAAATTCTTGAAATAAACTGAATTAGTTAAGTTCTATTGTAGTAAGGAATTGATTCAATCCATTTACTTTTGAAATAAACTTTGTTTTACGATCTTTCACGCTTATTTTATTTAAGATCGTTACTTTTATAAAGAGGAAGTTATTTATCACATCAGTTTCTTTTGAAAGAAACATGGAGAGGTTAACGTTCCATCTCCTCATTCTACTTTTTGGTATCAGGAGATTTGATATCTTCGGTTGATTTTAGTTGATTGAGAAATATCAAACTTACTTTTTAACTTCATAAACTTTTCCCTACTTTTATATATTACGTAGATTAAATATAACATATTATTTCACATTGTCCTTCGTGTAGAAAATTGATATTATATATAGTTAAGTTTGTGTAAAATTAAATTAAATTAGAAACACTCGAGTGTATATTACTTATAAACATGTATTACTAATGATTTTAAAGGGAAAATATTTAATTAAATCTAGAAAAAAAAAAATTGTTTTACCACTCAGTAATTTGGTTTCAGGATATTTTATCAATAACAAACTTTGACAAAACTCTCCTTTATGTAATTAAAACTACAAAGAATTATGTTTTTTTACACTGAATATAAAGTGTTTTTTTCCTTATAATTTATTAATAAATGTTGATAAAAAGTAAAATAAAAGAGGGAGGTAAAAAAAAGAAAGAAACAATCATAAACTTGAAGGATGTCTCTTTCATCGATCTTGTATGAGTGAAGAGAAGATGCTTTATCATAAGAAGAAAGAAGTGGAAGGAAGTACTTTTCTTTCTACAAAAAAATTACTTAGTTTTCTTTACAAATTTATAATAAAGTAAAAGAATATCTGCATAAAAGACAACGCATAAATAAGAGTTTGCAGGTGACAAGCAGTGTTTGATTAATGTAATAGTTTTCAATTTATTTTAGAAAAAGGTCAGACATAAAAAAAAGTATTATTTTTTAGAACAGTATCTTATTATTTATTTATTATTATTCAAGTTTTTTCCGGTTGTTATATAACAGAAGAAAAGAATTACGATCGATCGAAAGAGGCACTTTAGAACCTTAAAACATACAGAAATGCAAAAAAGTTACTTTGAGGATATGATTTTTTAAAGTTAAATAACTGCTGTTCTTTTTGTCGAAAATTTATGAAATTTTGCACGATGATTTCTATATTAAGGAGAAATATTTCTGGAAATTTTCAGGAAAATCGGATCACTGGTTCGGATGATATGGTCCCCAATCCCAAACCATTCTGAGATAAGATAACAATTTAGGAATGAAAACAAATGATTTCAGGAAAGCCTATCGACATGTGTTTATGAAGAATATTATAGGAGAAAATTAAATAAGATTATTTTCTACTTTAAAAGTAAATACTATGCAACTAATTTACTTTATTTCTATTTATTTTCCAGGTTCTTACTCCTTACATCAAGCCTTATAAATGTATATCTATCGTTAAAAATAACTTATATAAACACTAAAATATTTAATTATTTATGCATAAAAACATTCAGTAAACCTTATAAATATAATTAATAACTTACATTTGTAAATGAAATTAAGCATTCGCTATAATTTGTCCAGTTACCCCAAAGCCACTGACCTGTATGGTTGCATATTCTGTAAGCAACTGGATCTGAAAACACATAAATATTAATGTATTTTCTAGCTTTGTTTTTATTTTATGTTTAGAAAAACGTCTAGAAAAAAAAAAAAACCTTTATTTTCCATCCAGAAATTTTGTGGAGTAGAAAATATTCTTTTGCATGATCTTCTTACAACTTCTCCTGCAGGAACTGGAGGCCAACAATACAACTTATCCCAAGCAGCTTCACAAAAAGTCCCTATTAATAGTGATATTTTATTGATACGAAATTATAATTGTACCGAAAATAAATTTTTTTTCCTAGAAGAATGTTGGAAAAAGAAATAAATCACAAAGTAAAAAATATAGAAAAAAATGAAGTTTCCTCTAGTGTTGTTATATTGAATGTCTTCGTGGTTTGCTTCGTGTCTTATCAGTAAGCATGATCATTTATCATTGTCAAAATACTATGCTTCAAAGACTGAAAACAGACGAATTGGTTTTCATCAATTGCTATTAATATCAATAAAATAAAGAAATAATACGTCAAATCTCCATTATTTTACGCACAATTTCTTTAGTATACTCCCAAAAAAACTCGTATTTTTACCTTCTTAACTTTATGTAATTCGCTAAAGTAACAAGTAAATTTAATAAAATTATCTTATAATCTTGGATTTAGTTTATAATTAATTAATTTTTATAATTATAAAGTAAGCGATTGGCTATTGACTGTGCAATTTTTCAACTACCATTGACTTCCTCCCTCCCTTTTAGTTACATATACAAGTCAACCCCCCTATATGATAATTCCGTTTTATATGAATTCCATGTTGTACGAGTCACTTAGATTTTACAAATACACGAGACGTTCACAGCCCGGCACACGTATTTGTAAAATCTAAGTGACTCGTACAACATGGAATTCATATAAAACGGAATTATCAACAGTGTTACAGGGGGGTCGACTTGTACAATTAGTTACAATAGTTCATGAATTACCTTGAAATTCAACGAATAAACTTCAATAAACAGTACTGAACATACTTCGATAACAGTTCGGAATTTTACGACTAATAATTATATATTAATGATTATTAATTCTAGTTAAAGAATTTATGAAGTTCCATAAAGAAAGTAATTACAGGAATTTAATTTGTTTTAATTAAATTATTTTATACGTATAAATAAGAACCTATCGTACTTTATTATATATTTTAATGGAAATAGTAAGAATTTCTCACTTATATAATGAAATTGCTGTTGTGGTGTTAGAAACAATGCAAGAATTAGTACATTTTACATTGTTTCCAATAGAAATCAAGTACTATTTGCTTCAGATAGAAAGAAAATATTGCTTTATAGAAGAATTTTCACAATGTAAAGTGAGAAAAATGATCAGATTCAATCTTGATAGTAAGAGACTAGACTTGGCCTAGTCCATAATAGACCTAATTATTAAGGAAACCAACCTTGAGGCTTATAGAAAGGAAGATTTAATAAAAATCCTTAACTAATATATAAGTAAAATTACTCAAAAATTATTTAATCAAGCGTGTACAGAGAACAGACATACAGACTTTCTATTATATATATATATATTACTGTTGAGCCGAATCAATGAGAGGAATGCTTATAGTGCTGCAAGCATCTGTTGGTACGAAAGCAATCAGATTTCATACTTTAAAATAAAATTAAGAAAGAAACAAAAAATATATTTATTTAAATTATGACTAAGAATGAACAGAATATGATCTTCTTCGACTTTTTTCCAGTATAAAATATAAATAAAAGTTTATTTTGTTGTTCATTTACATACATGAAATTTGAGAATCTATGCCGAATATATGTATATAAATTTTGCAAATAAATTCTGATATATAGTTGCTATAATAAAATATAGGACCAAACATATTTTATATTTCGAAAATGATAAATGATACAAATAAATAACAAAGAAAAAATATATATATATTGCAAGAGAAAAATACAAACTTATATATAGTTTGGTGTTTCATTTTAATGGAGATCTGCCGAAGAGAGGTGCCTACTAGGAGAATTTCTATGAGAAACCGGTCCCTATAGGGGTCTTTTTCTCTTAAAACTATGAGAAAAAGACCCCTATGTAGATTTAGACACGTGAAACTACGATTCACTAGTTCCCATTTAGGTGCTAGACACGTGAAACTATGAGTAACTGGCCTTAATTAAGTTGCTAGATATGTAAAACAATGAAAAAATGGCCCTGTTTAAATCTTAGACACGTGAAAAATCAGGAAAATTTTACGTGTTCAGCTCATTGGTCAGGTCCGAACCCACGACCTATTACAACTCCTAGACAAAAAATTAGAATATTCACTTAACTGAAAGTTTAGTGTACATTAGTGTACATCTTTATGAACAACACAGAGTACGAAACTTTCCTTTGACCCTACATAAACAATGTCTATGTATATATTTATTACACCCATTAATCAAATTAACTCAAACTTTTTTTCTTACAAACGGAATTGAAATGACAGAAAATTTGTTGACGAAAATAAACTGTAATATACGTTAAGATTTAAAGAAAACTAATATTTATTTTAAATAAAATTAAGAACCAAACCTTTAATTATTTCTAGCATAAAAACTAATGAAAGTTTCTCTTTGATCAGTTATATTTTCAAAACAATTAATAGGAGTATTCTATATGACATTTCCTCACTAATCAGATTACCGTGTTGAGTGGTTCGAATCTATAAACAATCTCCAATTCACTTATAAACAAATTAACTTTTTTTAATTAAAATTTTTATATTGTTTTATAATTTATTAATTAATAAACTTTTAAACAGAAGGAAAATATCATGTACAGCCGAAGTATATACCGAACTTTATTTATTGTTTGAAAAGTATTGTAATTCTTCTTTAATTATTCATTAGTTCATGAATAAATTGAATAATTTACAATGAAAATTGCTTGTAAATATTTATTTTCTTAAATAAAAATTAATTAGAGAATTAAATATGAATGCATCACAATTTATTTTTTTAATTCTTTATCAACTTTAAGGTATTAATCAATTTTATTGTTTTTTCCACTATTAATTTTCTTCTTATTTACATGAATTTTATAACCAATTTTATACCTTTTTTTTACGTGATTAAATTTAATACAGTAAAATCTGTATAAACCGTAATCGCGTGGTTTGGTAGGTTTCCGTTTTGAACAGGTTCTCGGTTCCGTATTAGACAGGTTTTACTGTAATTGTTCGATATATGTATTAAAAATGAAGCTCTATTGTTTAAAAATTGTCTTTTTATTAGTCTTAACGCAGTATATTCATATACTATGACTAATTAAAACAATGTCTGCAACGTTCGTGCTTTGTTCCATTCAAATTTCAAGTCACAAGCTACAAGACTTATAATACTTGCAACTCGTTAATCCGAAATTTTCGATAATCCTGTCTCAGACTTGCTCACATGTGCCGGATTAACGAACTTCTACTATATATCCGTGGATACGTACGTTTTAGTATGTATTTATTTACAAATAACGAATTACAGTAAAAACCTGCTTAAACCGGAATCGCACGATGCCCCATATTTTTCTGGTTTAGTAAGTTTCCGTGTTTTGCAGGTAAGCAAAAACTATTCAATCTATATACAACGAGGTGCTACGAACAACGGCCATTTTTTATGTTCCAGTTAGTGTCCGTTGTTCACAGGTTCGGCTTGTACTGTATTAATTTCTGGTTTATAAATTATCTCACTTACTTTTATAATTATTTAGTTTACTCAATAACCGTTATTTTCCTGTAAAAGCAATCCTTATGGTGAATTGTCCTATATTGTAACATGATCACCCTATAAGTTTGAAGTGTTCACCACAAGACATTTACCTTTATTTTATCAAATACTGCACGCTTCACTAAGAAATTGCAAGCGTGTCTGTCTTTATTGTCTCACAATTCGGATTTATTGTATAGACTAGGAAAAAATCTCGTGTTTCTAACACACCAGAGATACTTCCTTACACAGAAAAAAACTCAATTTAAAATTGTAATACTAGGGAATTTCGAACGTTTTTCCACTCCTTTTATACTACAAATTCGTTAAAAGAGTTGATATACACATTAAGGAGAGTGCAGCGCTAATTTTTCTTTTAGCGGATGAATTTTGAATTACATTTATTTTTCACGGAAATCGAAACCGCATACATAGGACAGTATGTACACGAAATTTGGTTAAAATTTGGCTACCAGTATAATTTGCAGAGAGCTCTGAACACTGATTATTTTAATTACGATCACTCGGTTCTTATTGTCGATTTGCTAGTGTTTGGAAGCGACAATGGACGTATTCATTATTGATTTTAACTTCGGTATGGTTGATTAATTAATTAATAAGACATTAAACTGGACGAAAAACAAGCCGAATCTCCAATAATGAAAGCACAATGAGTTCTACATTCAACCAATTATAAAAAGTTCATTAACGAGTTGTATGACTTTCCCGGCAAAAAAAGTTAAAATTGTACGTGACGCCATCTGATAAAATCACAAAAAGCTTAATTTTCAGGGTAAAGATGACATAAAAAACAATTATAAATACTAACAAGTAATAAAAACTTTATTAAGTCCGACCCCACTCGAGATATTACACACAACCCTCTCCATCTCTCCCCTCGACCTTTAACCATCAAAATTTAATTAACGGCATCAATGCCCATAAATACACAATCCTCCATGCATAATTTCAGAAATTTTCGACAAAATACACGGGGGTTAATAAGCTTTAAACAGGTTAAAAACTTGCCTTCATACGCGCTAACATTCATACATACAGGAAAAGTCCCTAACTTCATGGCATTCCTATACGTTTTCAAGTATAATAATTAAAATTATAGATGCTAATATATTATTATGATTTCCTTGAAACAATTTCTATGTACAATATTTGTTGACAAATTAATTTAATGAGCTAAATTCGCATAATTAACATACTGTATCCAATATGGATAATTAAATCTTCAATATGTATAAATGTAAATTGCAGTGTTATAATTAAATTCATATGCATATTAATAAAATAATATCTGTTTACATATTCATAACCTAATCTACTTTAAATTAGTCTATAGAAATGTAATTTTGTAGTTGGGTTCGTGCCTCGGCAGTGCCTTTGTAGTTGGATTCGTGCCTCGTAAATTCGTGCAACGGACTGGCACGTGGAGTTTTTCGAGTTTCTTTCACTTTGTAACATCTAAATAGG